TGAAAAAAATATCGCGGTATAAGCCTCTTAAGCGTAGTAGGAAAGTTGTATGCCAAAATATTGATTGAAAGAGTGATGGATGTAACTGAAAATAAAATCTGGGATGTACAAGCGGGATTCCGAAAGGGAATGGGGTGTACGGATCAAGTCTTTTCTTTACGGTGCATTTCAAAGAAAGTTTTATCTGAGCACCAAAATGTATTCTGTGCCTCTCCTTTTTTTTTATGGGATAGGAGGCAAACGAGCAGACGGATCACCTGATGGTAAGCGATCAGCGCCGCCCATGGACACCCGCAACACCAGAAGAGTCACAGTATATGATGGGGATGCATATGCTGTCGTGAGGGTCGATGGCGAAAAGATGCGGCAGGTATCACGTCAAACAATTCCTCAGAGCACTCCCCGTGGTATAAGCGGTAGAAAATGCACAATGAAGCTACATCTCTACGCATTGCCAAAGTGTCGAGCCGGTTTGAAACATCCGGACATCCAACAATCCGAACGGCACGCCGCTGAATGCGGTCCAGAGGAAGAAGCTGGTACTGGGGTGCCCCCGCCCAAAGATGAAAACAGTATTCCATGTGGGGCCGCACCTGTGCCTTATATAGAAGCAGGCGGTGGGTCGGGGTGAAATACTGCCTCGATCTATTGAGCACACCAAGCTTCCTCGAGGCTAATTTGGCCTTATCCTCTAAATGACCGCAAAACTGGACGTCGCTCGAAATATTGACACCAAGTATTCCAATACCGGCTGAGGCAGTTAGGGGGGTGCTTTGAAACTGAGGAGAGACGACCAACGGCAGTTTCTTAGCGGTAAACACGCAGACTTGTGTCTTAGTGGGGTTAAATTGGACCAAATTAAGTCCACCCCAATCAGAGATTCTCCCTAAAGAGGTCTCGATTTCAGACACGAGTCTGTTTCGGCTCTCTATGACGTTTTCCCGAGAAATGTTAGCGCGGCCGGTGTAGTAGGCATCGCCTGTGCTGTCATCCGCATAACAATGAATGCCGCTGATTTGCAGCATGTCATTGATATGGAGGAGGAACAATGTAGGCGATAGCACGCAGCCTTGAGGGACGCCTGCATTTACAGACATCAAGTCAGAGCATTCACCGTCGACGACGACTTTAATGCTTCTGTCTGCAAGGAAGTAGGAGACCCATTTGCATAATTTCTCGGGAAGTCCGTAGGAAGGAAGCTTCGAAAGAAGCGCTCTATGCCAAACCCGATCGAAGGCCTTCGCCACGTCTAAACTTACTGCCAACGCTTCCCCCTTAGACTCGATCGCCTGTGCCCACCGATGCGTTAGGTAAACAAGGAGATCACCAGCAGACCGACCTTTACGAAAACCGTATTGCTGGTCACTGAGCAGCTGATGATCCTCTAAGTAACGCAGGAGCTGGCAGTTAATAATGGACTCCATTATTTTCGAGAAGAGGGAAGTTATGGCTATCGGTCTGTAGTTAGACGGGTTAGATCGATCACCTTTTTTAGGGATTGGGTGGACTAAAGCTGTCTTCCAGGACGTCGGAACTACGCCTGAGGAATAAGAGAGCCGAAAAAGACGTGTGAGAACTGGGGCCAACTCGGGGGCGCACATCTTCAAAACAATGGGTGGGATCCCATCAGGCCCGCTCGACTTATGGACGTCAAGGGATAAAAGCGCCAAACGTACCGTGCGCTGGTGGAACCGCACATCCGGCATATACCTTCCGCACCAAGGCACAACAGGAGGCTCGCGCCCACCGTCATCCAGTGTCGAGTTGGATGCAAAGATTTTTGCCAAAAGTTGAGCCTTATCCCTTGCGTTATGAGCCAACGAATCCTCACCCATGTGCAGAGGTGGAAATGACGGCCTGCAGAAATTGCCCTCGATAGCTTTGGCGAGCGACCAGAATGAACGAGTTCCTGAAGGAAGGCGCTCCAGCCTCTCACCAATTCTACCGATGTGCTGCGACTTGGCACCCGCAATAGCTCTTTTGAAGGACTTGGAGGCAAAGTTATACTCCTTTTTTAGTGCACTGGTATTTACATCCCGTGCCACCGCCGCATCGACCCAGGCTTGGTAGGCCTCCTGCTTTCTGCGTGAGGCCTTTCTGGTAGAAGCATCAAACCAGGGCCGATATCTGCCACCGACGGGGACCAGAGAAGATGGGACGAAAAGCTCCATCCCCTGCAGCACCACATCAGCAACAGAATTGGCAGCGGCGTTGGGATCATCCTGCAAGAAGCAAGCCCGCCTCCAAGGGTAGGATGCAAAAAAGGACCGCATCCCATCCCAATCTGCCGACCTATAGTGCCATACACGGCGACCGCGTACCTCTTGTAGTCGCGGTGTGCACGTCCAAGATACAGAGCTCCGGACAAGGCAATGATCCGATGAGCCAAGAGGGGCTTCGACGGATACGCTGTCCAACAGTGAAGACCTCTGGCCTTCCACATCCGGGATTCGCGTGGGCACGGTCACCTGTTGTGTTAGGCCAGAAGCAAGAGCCAAGTCGTGGCTGTCCACGACGAGACTGACCACGCGGGGAGATCTGTTCCCCGCGTGGTCAGTCTTACTGGAGCAGAGCCAGTCGGCGTGATGGGCGTTGAATTCGCCAAGCAAGACCACTTCCGCTGAGGATATCTGCCCCTGCACAAGATCTACAGCCGTCTGGATGTGGTCCATGAGTCGCAGTGACCTAGAAACCTAGACTAGACTCTCCTGACCTAGAAAAGGTTTATGACAGAGTGATGAGTGATGACTTGATGAGAGATGAATTGTGAGCAACTCTGTCCATGAATGGGGTGGATAGCCACCTGATTCGGGCACATAAATTATTATATAAGGATTCGAGTGCCTGAGTCAAAATAAATGGAGTTTACACAGAGTGGTTTAACATTAATCGAGGTGTTAGATAAGGCTGTGTAGCATCTCCTTGGTTGTTCAACGTATTCATGGACAGCTGTTTGAACGATTTGAAAGTAGGAGAGTGTCGATTAAGAATGAATGACACAGTGATTATTACATTGTTGTATGCAAAGAGTATAATAAGTATAGCGGAAGTTGTATGCCGACGACCAGGTACTTGTTGCCTCGTCGGCTGAAGAATTACAACGAATGATCACTGTTATGAATGATACATTTGAAAGGAAAGGTATGAAAGTAAATATGAACAAGACAAAAGTGTTGGTGATAGAAGGAAATGAGGTGATAACAGAATGTCAGGTAATGATAGACAAGTGAATGAGTTTGTTTATCTGGGATCACTATTTACGACAGATGGCAAGTGTGATGGAGATATTAAAAGGAGAGTGAAAGCGGGAAATAGTGTCAATGGTGTCTAACACTGTAATGTCGAGTAAAATAATATCCAGCAAAGTTCGACTTGCTGTAATGCAGTGTGTATTGACACCAACGTATGGTAGTGAATCATGGGTATAGCAGAAGAAGCATGAAAACAGGATTAATGCGGTGGAAATGAGAGCCCTGAGAACAGGTGGAGTAAAATTGAGAGTTAAGAGTGAAAAATTGTGTTATTAGAGAAAGGTGTGGATTGAAAGATGATGTAGTGACAAGGGTTGAAAAGCGAATGTTACGCTGGTTTGGACATGTAGAAAGGATGGGTGAAAGTAGATTAACGAAAGAAGTATACAGAGCGGATATGAATGGGGTCGTCGTTTGAGGGCGCCCTAGACGGACATATAGTGGCGACAGATTGGCGATATATTAAAGAAGGGCCAAATGAAAAGTATCCTTAAACGACTTCGATCAACAATAACAACTAGATATCGGGTCAGCGCAAGAAAATCGTCTCGACAAATAAGAGCTCACTTGAGAAGTGAGCTCTTATTTTGTTTAGTATGCTCCAAACACGGCCAACGTACTCACGTCTCACGATGCCGCAGTGCGTAATTGCAAGTTGCAAAAATAACAACCGAAAAAGCAGTATAACGGCCGGAGTGTCTTACTTTTGATAAGTACATAAAGTATAAGTTATATTTTAAGCTTTTAAACTAGTAAATAATATCAAATTAGACAAAATTATCAATTATAAACCAACGCCACCAATGTTTGTGCGTGTGTTGGCGATTCCTTGGCCAAGCCTCGCCAACATTTGTTTAAACAGAACAGTGGATGCATCGAGTCGATTTGTATTGAAAAATAAAATTGTATTGTTTCTTGCTCGTTCTTCTCCATAGGAATCTACACCTTGGAATGAGCAAATAGCTTCACTTTTAAATTTATATTGTTGACGTTCAAAAGTGCCTTCCTGGTCTAACTGAAATAAATGATTTTGACTTAGACTTAGACTTTTAATGATAAAGTAAATAAACATATCATACACAAAAACGTACCGCTAATAAAAATTAGTGATGTATACTAAGATCCCGAAATCTTAATTTTCATATTATAAAATTATTTTAGTGTCCAACGCGACTCCATACATACCTCCTGTAGCGAAATTCGAAATTTGAAGAAGCAAAACGTAACAAAACAAAACGATATAGATCGCAAGACAATAATGGAAAAATTATCTTTATTTGTTCGAGCTTAAGGTTGAATTCAAACTAAATATTGTATAACTTATGTCTTTTAATTTCTACATGACAGGAGTAAGAAAATACTTTTCTTGTCTTATGTGACGAATGGTCGTAAGTATTAGATAATATTTTGACGATTTATGACTATATTATTAGGTGCCATTGTTGTTATTAGGTTGAACTTAAAACTATTTTAAAACATTTTTCTCTGTTCGTTATTTTTTTACTATTATTATTTACACGGACAGAACTGGAGCTTGATTTTGTACGTAACGCTTTATCTAGTTGTTATTGTTGATCGAAGTTAAACGACGAGCATGCATGAAAACATTGATGACTGAAGCGAAAGAGGCATGTAGGAATCGTAGTAATTGGCGTACCATAGTCTCTACCTACCACCATGGGAGATATGGCGTGAAGTTATGTATGTATACATGTATTTATGTTATTAAAAAATAGACTATTCTAATTTTTAATCACATTATTTATTCATGACGTTATTATTGGCAACACATTCAGTTTTGTTTAATCTTGCACAGTAACAACAACATATTATTATAATAATATTGCGTTAAAAAAACATTTTTGTTATAAATTATCATAACTTTCAGAGTTATTAAAATAACATTCACATACTGGCTAAGATTCCGATTATCCTTTCTCAAAGATCATAACAAATAAATCAACCATTTATCATCTGAGTATGAATGTACAGTACCTATGTCGTATTTATGGATTAAAAACTTTTTCAATAAAAATAAAATACGATATTGGCTATCCCCTAACACCTAACACTGACGGTGTCAAGGCTACATTGACAACGTCAAACATCGATTGCTAAAAAAGAATACAATAAAAAATAGACATCGACATGACTTAGCGATCGAATTTTTGAGTCGAGCGGACTGTAGGCTCAGGGTTTAAAAATATACAATACAAAGCATCTTATAAATTCCAAATTAAATAGATTATACTCTTATTTACAGACATCTCAGTTGATGTTTGGTACTTATGTTTTTTAAAGTCATTTAAAACTTAAATTATTCGACTTATCAACATTCTAAATAAAATACATCATTTTATTACAAGTAGTAACTATATCTACGTAGGACGTACGTCTATTCTAAAACGAACAAACTACGGTCCTCATGTCTCACTGTCTTGTTGACAGCCACTGGAATCAGGAGCAGGCAGCTTTAGCAGCCTTTACAGCTGGAAAATAAAAACAATAATATTTAATTTTATAAACTACATACATTTTAAATGTGTTTAAAATACTGCGATGTCAAATAAAGGAAAGGGCCCACGGTGCGATACTTATGTGATGATAAGTAATTGAAGACTACTTAATCATCATCATCAAAAACAACTCTTGATAGTCCGCTGCTAGATTATGGGTACCGCGACTATTTAATCGCAGTGTTCCGGTTCAGGTTTATCAGAGAACACTGCAATCCGGACTCGGTTAAATGTGTGTAGTCAGGTTTGATCGACTCTTGCGACATCCGCGGAAGGAGGGCCGGTGAAAAATCTTTCTATGACTAATATTTTGTCACGACATAACTATGAATTATAATACTTGAAACGTCATAATTAATTTTATTCATCAGTGATACATATTGGAAATCAATATTATTGTTTATTGTTTTAGTTCAGATTTGGTTTGTCACAAACGATGAAGGTTACCGAGTTCAAAAAAGGAGGAGTTTTTGCTTAGACTTTTAAATTGAGTTAGGAAAAATTGTTAGCATGTGCATCATCATCTAATGTTTATCAATTAATGAATTTCATTGCAATAAGAACATGCAACATCGTTAAACATCGTTTTTTTTGCTCTATTTGATTTAGTCGACTTATTTATTTTTATCTAACAAATTCAGTGAGAACGAATATTTTTATTTTATTAACCGACTTAAAAAAGGAGGAGGTTCAATTCGACCGTATATATATGTTTTTTTTATGTATTAATAAGTATGGGAGAGCCATGCTTCGGCACGAATGGGCCGGCTCGACCGGAGTGATACCACGGCCTCACAGAAAACCGATGTGAAATAACGCTTGCGTTGTATTTCGTAGTGTGAGTGAGGTTACCGGAGCCCCAATTACCCCTCCTCCCCAGTCTCCGCGATCCCCGAATCCTCCACAATCCTCAAATTCCCAATTCCCATAAGGCCGGTAACGCACTTGTAACGCCTTGGACACTTGAAACATTCCAAGTGTCCATGGGCGACGCTGATTGCTTACCATGAGGTGATCCGTCTACTCGTTTACCGGCTTATGCCATACATAACATGTATTTAGTTAATTTATAATGTTATAAATCTTTTTTTTGTATTTTATTTGAATTTCTCTCTGTCTGAATACAGAGAGTACAGAGTTTATTTGTAAAAAGTTTAAGAGGTTTTTATAAAAATTACGTAACTTTATTTTGTTATACGATTTTTTATTTAACAATAATTATTATATTTTTTTATTTAACATTATTATGTACCACAGCCCATTTTATTCTTGGTCTTTTAGACCATACATTTTAGTTTACAGTCCTTTGACTATCAGTATGTGAATTAAAATTTATTAAGGTAATATGACTTTACATTTAAGTACACTTCTAGGCAAACAACCATATCCTACAGTCCGTACGTAGGCTGATATGGTAATGAGGAAAATAATGTTTAGTGCCTTCCAGCTATGTCCGTGGTTGCAGAGGTTTTTAGTTAGTCGATGCGTAGGGCTGGAAACCGTACCAGGAGCGTTCTATGTAGAGGCCCATTGTCGAAACACTCAAACGCTACCCAATTTTAAGTCGCGCTTTACTATAGTTTTGTCACTACAAATTTCGTGACAGAGATGGCACTATATTTGAGAACAAATTAAAATTGAATAATAGCCTTTCAGTATTCGTGCGTATATTTAGCAGAAGACAGAAACATTTTGAAGATGATGCTGAACTAATTTAAATATGGGGCAGTCGAAATGTTTTATGTGTAAAAGTATCACCTTCTCTCTCTTTTCTACGCAGCTTCTTGCGTCGGCGGTCAATAGCGGCAAGTTCAGCCTTCACTGAATGGTAAGCTTTGCGCAGATCCGCTAGTCGCGTTGTCAACAAGTTGATGCGAGTTGAGCAGTCCCAGGTCGGATCTAGTTAAGTGAAAAAGAATATAGTATTTTGATTTTTAAGGTCCAAAATGCTATAACCTATAAATAGCGAATATTGCACGATGGATGATAAAAAATTGCTATTTTTAAATCTTTAAAAATAGCAATTTCTATGTAGGTAAGATTATTAACTCGTCGAGTACCGGTTTTGTAGACACAATCATAGAACAATAGGTTGCGGTCACCGGTGACAGCTTGGTGTTTGACAGTTTAAAGCTCATACAGTTATGAAGCGCTTGTATCTTGGGTTAACATTGTTCCATTAAAAAAGCAACATTTTTTTTTAGTGACATAATTTTCTTACTAGCAGTTCAGTATAAGAATATGGATAGTTACCTAATTCGACATAGAAGTTGTACTTCATCGGCGTGTGGTGCGAGTGCGGTGCGTGGTGCGCATGCGCGGAGTGCGGCGCGTCGTCCGTGTCGCGGCGCGTGCGCCGCCCGCGCCCGCGCGCGCCGCCCAGCGAACTCTCCGACGCCTTGCGCGACCGCGCACCTTCATACAATACTTATTTATATTATTACAGCTTACAAATATAACGCTTACTTTTCAAGTAAAACATTTATCAACATCAATCGCTCGAATTAGTTCAATCCTGGACTGTAATTCTCCTCTGTGTAGGTAAAGAGGGTTTATCAAAGACAAGTTAGAAAATACGGTTTATCAAAGAGAGCTGCTGTGTCTACTAAATGTGCAATCCATTAGCGGCTCCTACTACACCCACGAGTAGAGATAATGACAAATGCAAGTACAATATTAAATGAAGGCAATTCAGTACATTACATAATATAATATTTTATTATTTTTATTTTAATATATATATGTTGAAGTATATATTTATACACTATAGCTTTATCAAATATGTATGTTGCCTTAATTAATAGTTATTTTTACCGACTTCTGCATTACAGCTTATGCACCTACCATGTCCTATCTCTGTACCACATTAAGGTAGACTAAACTGGCAGAGAATGCCCTAGACATTAAGTCCGCCTTGTGCTAATTATGCGTCGAAGTAATAAAAAAATAAAATAAATATATATTCCATTTGTAATAATATTACTGTTGTTACTAACCGTGCGGCTTCTCTATGTCGAGTCCTGAAACGTCGTTCATTCTGCTGTCGTCTTCGTCGTCCTTCCGTTCCGAAGGACTATCTCGTTCTGATATACGACGCTCCCTGTCCACATAGAAGCACAAATAAATACCACATTTACGTACATGCTATTTTTTTCTACTTTTCTTAAAATAAAGTTCCGAATGTGAAATTGTTCCAATTAAAGACTATCCATATTCATTTACATAACAATAACGTAACATCACGCCTTTTATCCCCGAAGGTGTAGGCAGAGGTGCACACAGAAGTAACACTCACTTTCACTGTTTATGTTATGAGTCCCATGTAATAGGGGGTGAGCCTATTGCCATATACCGGGCACATTTCCAGACTCCGTGCTACTACTGAGAATTTTTTAAAAGCCCAGTAATACTTTGCCTGACTCGGGAATCGAACCCGAGACCCCTTGTCCGGCAGTCACACATGCGACCACTCGGCGAACGAGGCCAACGAGTGAGGGTAATTCCCTTCCCTTTCCCAATCTCCCCAATTCCTGAATCCCTTGTAACGCCTCTGGTGTTCCAGGTGTCCATGGGCGCCGCTGATTGCTTATCATCAGGTGATCTGTCTGCTCGATTACCGGCTTATGCCATAAAAAAAAAGAGCAAGTAATGAGTAGCAAGGAACGAGTGTCGCCGGGTACCTGTGTGGCGGCGAGGCGTCGAGGCTGCTGTCGGGCGTCGTGGGCGGCGTGTTGTCGGCCAGCGCGCGCCCGCGCCACGCCTCGCGCGCCCCCGCGCCCCCGCACGCGCCCCCGCCCGCGCCCCCGCACGGCACGCCGCCACGACGCTCTTCTGCAAGTTACAATAATACCACGATTGGAAACAACGTCGAAGTCAAACCATGTTATTTTAATTAGACTATAAGGGAGTGCTGAACATCAAAAACAATTCCAAATAGTAAATGTTAGTTACTGTGTAAATACGATACTTTAGTCATTATTATTGGAAAGTTTCCAACAATAATTAGGCCTTTGAATGCTGACAGAAAACTGTTGAAAGCAAATCCTCCGCCAAGCGCCGATCATCAGTGACCGACGAGGTGATTAACATGTTAGATTCATATCTAATTTTATTTTGATAAATCAAATTTAATCTTTTTACTTAAAAAAGTACCAAATAAACACAAACTTTTACATTTACAATTTTAGTAAGATAAAGAGGGAACATTATTTGTTTGTAGGCTCAATATAAAGCAACTAATTGTTATTATCGACACAGTACAATACTAAGTGGTCTATTGTTAAATAAAGGGCACGAAGAAATCACACGTGGGAGAAGTCTTTATGTTTTTAAGTTTCAATAGGTGTTTTGTTCATGGTGCATAAACAATTAAGATGGTATTTTAAAGAAAGGTGCAGATATAGGTCTGTTACTCGAGTAAAGCGTCGCTTACCGAAGAATGATTTGTGATTCAAGTTATTAGAAAAACTTGGTCTTGCTACTTAATGTGTTAAATAGCGTAGGTGGAGCAGTCGTTGTGAGAAACTGTGTATCATTTCAGACTTTGTGTCTACTGTATGGTATTATAAGTGTATGAGTTTGTATGGCGAGATATACCTTTAGCGTGATGATGCGGCGGTGCAGATGCGAAGGGCATGTGCAGTCGTTGTCGCGGGGGCGCAGGCTCGGCGTCAGGCGCGGGCGAGCCCGGGATGGTCTCCGAGCACAGCAGTAGCGAGATACTGCCGTCCTCCTCGCGCGCCTCGCGGGCCTCGCGGGACTCGCGCACCTCGCGCGGCCCGCCCGCCACTACTACGCTCGCGCCTGGTCAAACATAGATGATTAGATACTTGTGTTCTTCAGTTCAGGTAAAATATTGTAGACCTGACACTTTTCAATAGTCATGAGTCCAATAAAAACGTAGACATCCTAGTAAATCTTATTGCAAACCCGACACTTCTTGGTCGGTAATTGCGCTTGGAATCCTTGGACCAGATGCCAATAATAATTCTGACTGCCATTCTAAGTAATTTGCAATAGTCAGGACAGAGCGACTATATTGTGTAATTGAAAGTTGCTACTGATAGCTATACTTACTATGTTTCCGCTCGTTCTTGCACGCATCTTCGAGCATAAGTAAAGACTCCCCGGCGCTCCACTCGCCTGGAGACTTCCCAGCGTGCAGCGAGCGTGCACCCAGCGCTAGCGACGTACTGGGGGGCATCGCACCCAGCGACCCCAGCGGCCCCAGCGGGGGCAGGGCGTGGGGGGCCAGCGGGGCCAGGCTGTGGGTGTGGGCGGACTGAGCTGGAGACGACCGCTCGCTACTGCCCCACTCGTCTACTACTAACTTGTCGATTATTAACCTACAAGGAAAGGAGAACCAACAGTTAGTACGAGCACAAAACTAAAATACATTACACAATTATTCAAATGATTCATTTTGTTTAATTTAGATTTCGAAAGACATTAATGAATGCACATTACTGTAGAATGAAAACAAAGCAATTTATTACCTCCTGTCGGAGTCGTCCGAGTCGCTAGAGTCGGTGCGCTCGTCGCTGGGGAAGGGTAGCGGCACGGTGGCAGCCACGGCGGCGGCGGACTGGTTGATCTGGCTCGACAGCTTCTGGATGGTGTCACTGAGCACCTTGTTGTTCTTGCCGGGCACGCCGGGCACCCCGGGCACGCTGGGCGCCACGGCCACGCCGGGCACGCCACACCCGGGCACGCCGGCCGCGCCGGGCACGCCGGACCCGGCCAGCTCCGCCACGCTGCTGCGCCGCTCGAGGCAGCTCAGCGGGGAGTGCAGCCGCGGCGCCACCGCTTCCTCAATTTTCGGTTTCTTCACCTCCAGCACGTCACGCTTCACCTCCACTATATTGGAAGACTCGCCGTATATCTCGGCAGGCTCTGGTGGTGTCACCTTCTTTATTGGTTCAGGTTTCAGTGTTGGTTTGATTGCTTCTGGTTTTAGCGACTTTGGCTCATTACTCATCACGGGCGAGAGCTTGTGCTCTGGTTTAATCGGTTTGATTGCGTCCATCTTAGGTGTAACTGGACGATCTTCCAAGGGCGGAGGAGACATTGAGAGTCGCTTAGCGCTGCTGATAGCTTTCAAAAGTTTCTCAGCTATCTTTGGTCCCTCGGATTGGAGCAAGAATGCTGGTGGTGGCTCCGGCAGCACGTCAATTCGTGCAGGACTGTCCGGCTCGGACTTGTCTTCTTCGGTATCCATTAGAGGGCTCGCTGGCGGTTGCATTTTCAATATAGCTGGCTCTATGGGAACCGGATCCAATTTCTTGTCAATTTTTAGTTTGAGCGGATTTTCTTTTGGTTGTTGAGGGGGAGTAACTATAACAGGGGGAGGATTGACAGGTTCTTCCTTCTTTGCCTTCTCTACGTTGTCAACAACAGGTTCGGGAGTCGGCGCTGCAGTGACAGTAATAGTTGGCGGCGTGATGGTAACGCTTGCAGTGGGCGCCACCGTTGGTTTGGGTGGTGGTGAATCTGGTTTCTTTTGCGGTGGAGGAGTTTTGGGCGGTTCGGGAATAACCTCTTTAGGCTCTTTATGTTCTTTATTATCCTTCTCCTCTGTTACTATTTCTTTGATTGGGACTACAATTTCAGGCTCCGCGGGTTCATCTTTCACGGGAGTTTCTGGAGTCTTGGGTTCTTCAACCACTGGTAACGTGGGTGTAGGCTCCCTTGCTTCCTCCTTTACAGGGATATCTTCTGGTTCATCATCTGATGACTGCTCGTCATCTGCTGGGCTGTCAGGAGAGTCATCAATAAGTTCTCTCAATTTAGATACTTTGCTTTTCTTCGAATATGTTTCTTGGTTCTTAGCTGGAGTGAATCCCTCAAATGTCGGTCCTGAACTACCATCGCCAGGGAATGAGTCGTCATCGAGCGAGAACAGACCATCTTTGGAGTCATCCTCGGGACTCTGACGGTTCACATCTCTGGTGACGCCGAAGTCTCTGAAAGGAGACAAGGAAGGTGACCTGAGGGATGACGGCCGGGGCCGCATGGGATCTTCGGAAATTTCTTCACTGAGTGACTTGGATAATGTAGACGTGTATTTGCTGGGTGAAATGTCGTCGAATATACGATGGGTGCGCTTTTTCTTTTCGTCGTGCAGTTCTAGCTCGAAGGGTTCTGGTTCTTTGAACTCGTAGACGTCTTCGGGCTGTTTGTCTTGTTGCATGGGCTCGGGAGGTGGTGCAGTGGATTGCGAGGGAGTGGCCTCGTCAGCGTCGGCGGATTCTTGCTTGCTATCTTCGGGCTCCTGTTTGACAGTTTGTAGCCCTTTGAGTTCGGAGCGTATTTCATTAAGATCGTAATCTCTGCCTTGATGGCCGGGTGCATTAGGCCGTGGTTTCTTGGCCGGGGACACTGAAGTAGGGGTGGACACTGTCCTCACTGGCCGTTTGCGTGGCTTGTTTGAACCATTACTGTCACTTGACTTCACGTCTTTAGATCTCGATGGAGCTATGGACAAACGTTATGATTTAAGTTATAGCCAACTTGCATGAATAGTGTGAAAAATATTGATCTAAACAAAATTAATGACTTTAGTACATAGTAGTAGATACATACTATGGTTTTTAATTACTTACTCTTTGAACTAGATTTATCGTCGGACTTCTTAGGTGGTCTCTTGACGTCGTCGTCACTTTCGGAACTATCGGAATCTGACCGTGCCGACGACTCTGTAAATAAATATTTTCGGCATTAATTTTCACGATACTTTAAGAAGAAATGTATATGAATTATGTATCGACATGGCAAAAATTACACATACCTTCAGTCCTTTTGCTCCGAACACGCCTGCTCATACCAGAACCCTGAGAAATAAGAAATATATTTTAGATTAGAACATCAGCGACCAACATGATTCATGATATTATGAGCCCTCATTTTCTTGAGATAAATCGAATATCCTCGAAATATTCACGTACCCCATATATTTTGATTAACTAATTATATTGTACTGTACTTTTTTGTTCCTCTGCTCGTGTTGCGTGACGTTGAGTGCGATGCGTTGTGGTTTGATCCACTCGTCGTAGCGCGTGTTCCAGCCCAGGTAGTGCACGCGGAGCAAGTCACCCGTCGCCGACTTGTCGATCACCTTCGCCTCGTACGTCACCTGAAAATGTACATTCTTGTTATAACAGCCTTTAGGGACCGTAGCTAGTCGGTAAAGTTCTAGTTGGGGTTACAAACTCATAACTAAATATACTGGACATTCTAAAAAGGAGCAGTAATATTTTATCTGCGAATCAAAAAGGTTCAATAACCTAAAGGTTTGTTAAAACAAATAGTACGTTATCAAAAATGTATTGCATTCTTAAACATGATGGTGAAAAGGCCATTAATTTAAAATGGTCAGAAGTACTATTTATTTATTTAATTATTTACGTACACACAAACAGCACAAAGGATAACATATATATAAAACAAGAGTACATAGGTTTTAGTATTAAGTGACTTTAATAAATTAAAAAAGTAATTAACAAATGTTTGAAGCGAGAACGTATGACACATTGCACAGCAGCAAAACATCTATCCACTACGCCTATGCAATCAAGCAATCAAACAAATATATAAACAGACATAACAAAGATGATATATGCTTACAGTGATTTTTTTAATCCCTTTACAATTACGAGAGAGCCAGAGTTATCTATAGATCACACTGACATAATTTAATTCCTTATATTAATGTTCATGCTTTTATAGCCATAGTAATGAATCTTTAATGTAATGAGACTTTTAGGTGTCGCAACAGTCACTCATCACTTATTTTGTTAATTTCTCTATCGACATAATTACAAAGATAAATTCCAATACTGCATTAGTTCCTAATGATTGCAAACAATGTAGTTGTATTCTTCACGCGGATGTCCTAATATCCAACTAAGGGACTTATTTTACATGGACTGGAAAGCAGGGCTTTCTGATTAACATGGAGCTTTTAAACTACAGCCTCCAACACGCCTGCCAAACATGGAGATTATGGCAAAGATCAATTAATCCCCAATCTCCTCAATCTCCGAACCCCCAACAATCCTCAAATTACTAATCCTCAAAAGGCCGGTAAAGCACTTATAACATCTCTGGTGTTCCGGGTGTCCATGCGGGCGGCGCTGATTGCTTACCACTAGGTGATCTTGGTTGCTCGTTTGTCAACTTATCGTATAAAAGACAATATTGGACTGTTGCGGGCTGTTTACGTGTTGTGTATTTATATTTATACTAGCTTTTACCCGCGGCTTCGCTCGCGTCACAAAAGGATAAAATTAGCCTATGTGACATATACCAATACACACAGCGCCATCTATACCGATTCTTTTGTTTTTCCTCGGGAATAACAAAATTTTCCAGGATAAAATATTATTTATTCCGGACTTTTAACTTTACGCCTGCAAAAATTCAAAGCAATCGGTTTAGAAGTTACGGCGTGAAAGTGGAACAAACAAACGAACTCACTTTCCCATTTATAATAGTAAATAATGATATTTACAATTTTACTTGATTTTCCCTCGTATTAGGTCCCTGCGTTATAAGAATTGGGATACTTTTACGTAAAAAATAATTTATATCGACTTTTCGTTTTTGTTATACGTCATAATATTTTACTTGAAAAATACCAAACTTGTTTATAATTGGCTAATTTCAAATTGTATTAGTAGAAGCCATTATTACTAATTAAGTTTTGTCAATTACCAATCTATATTGTGTCGTTAGACTTAACGCGAATAGTTAAATATCTTGTCAGCAAGACGAATGTTGACTTAGCAACTTTATCTTCTGTTTTTTTAGGCTAAGTTTAGTTGCAAATCAAATTTTCAGTCAAAGCGTATTCCGTTTGCAATCCAAAACGACGGATGGTGATGTAACACTCTTCAACAGGTTACTAGCATTACCCGACCCAGAAAGCAAAAAACTCGGTGCTGGCAAAGATCACCAAACCACAAAAGCAGTAAATACATAAATAAAAAGCAAATAACAACAAACAAATAATGTAATAATGTGGGTTGGGCCGTACTTTTACCTTCGATTCGGACTGGGTGGGTCCGTAGTACACTTTCAACTTGTCTCCCACTTGTGCTTTCACATTCGATACTCCGGAGCGCGGCGTCGGTTCATTGGTTGGTCTGTTGGGGCAAAATCGCTTGTATTAGTAGAGAATTAAAAACTTACGTAAATAAAACAAAACGAGGTTTCTTTGTGTAGTGTAAGAATGATTATACAACATACTATGATGGATTTTATTTCTGTTGTCTTTTTTTAGCAAAGATGATAAGGGCAACCTAATTGGCGTAACCCTGGCCTTAGTTCAGACTCCAAATAGTTTCGTACGTTACTCGACACGCAAATCAAACCTGACACTCCGCTCGGCGGTCGCGCCAGTAACTATTTGATTTAACCCTTTGTAAGTAATTTGTCCCAGGAATCGCAGGAAAAATGACTTACAAAGGCAAGATTATTTAATTTGACCACATCGATATTTTAATATGATTGTATTACAACTATAGTAACTTCCAATGCAAAATTTATAGTAACTTTCTTGGATGAAATCATGTATATTAAGAAGAGAAGACGAAAGTATGAGATAAGTATATACTCACTCGGTGTTCTTCCTCTTCCGCGGTCGCTTGCTGCTGTTGGAGGCTATGGTGTTGCCGCTACTGGCAGAGTTCGCGCTCTGGCTGCGACGACTCTGCATCTTCTTTATAGGCCCACATCTATGGAACAATACATACTTACAATTACCATGTTGAGTACTATATTTTTATTATCGACTAGTTGACCCGGCAAACTTCGTACCGCCTTATTTTTACCTTTTTTTCTTTCTTTCTTTCTTGACGTACATTTTGACACTTCTCAGTGTCATCCCCATACATTTTGATTTCTACTCTCTCTGTAGACAAGCGGTGTTTGGCTAACGGCCCTGGACTTCCACGAACATTTCAAGACCAAAATTAACCAAATCGGTCCAACGGTTCTCGAGTTTTAGCGAGACTAAACGAACGTAAATTCATTTTTATTTATATAGATAGATAAATAGTTGTAATTTTCAACGCCTTTCAAAAAAATACGTAAACAATAATAATCTTAATCTCCATAGTGAATTATGAAGGGTATATGGCAGAAACTCTATGTAAAATACTAATATTTTATTGTGTAATTAAGGATCAATACTAGTTTCATCCTAGTTGGATCAGATCAGGGCAAATAAACAAAGATGTTTTATTTGATCCTATGAACTGAATGTCTATTTTAACTGAACATATTTGTAAAACCAAAACCTTGATATAGTAAGCCGTATCATAATAGAGTTTAAAATTGATTGAATGTCTGTTAATTCAAGTTGTTTACCTAGAAGCGCGGCCAGAGCTGTCGCTGTCAGTAGAAGCGTGCGGCCGACGAGACGCTCGGGAAGTGCCCGCACTAACACCTTCACCTAAAATAAATATTTCAATTACATAAATATATGGAGGTAATCTAGAAAAAGACCTTTTTACGTGCTTGAATAACCAGAGCCATGACTGATTGAAGCTAAGGAAGTAACAAAAAGGCAAGTATAAAGTAGTAAAGTAATAATATGCATACTCTTGGAAGATAGGGGGCGTCGCTTCGGCGTCCGTTTCTCATGGCTCTCCGTCTTCACAGGCGTGATAGTTCGTCCTTTAGACTGAGACCGAGGTTTCACTACTACTTTCTCTTTCTCCTCACTAGTGCTAGTAGAAGCTGAACTCTTCTCCTTGCTGTCTTTTTCTTTTTCCTTCTCCTTTTCTCGTTCTTTCTCCTTCTCTTTTTCCTTTTCCTTCTCCTTTTCTTTCTCTTTCTCCTTTTCTTTTTCCCTTTCTTTTTCTTTATCTATTCTGTTAATAACAAATGAAATATTAGTATTAATAACATTTCAGCTAAATGAATGCAATGTTAATCTACTTCAAACAGTTAATTACAAAAATAGATGTTAAATAATTTTATTTTTGGAATATCGAGGAAAATGCGCCTACATTTGAATTATTAGTAACACAGTAGTACATACAGTAGCAAAAGTGAAATGTCTTTACTTTTACTGTTTCTGTATAATATTTCAAAAAATTTGAAATGAGACCAGAGGTCCTATGTGTTCTTACTTCGGTGCAGTAACAATCAGTGGCTGGTTGTCTGCGCTGTCCTCTCCGTCACTGGTGCGAGGTGCGAGCTTCTCCTTTACTTTCTCTGGTTTCTCCGGCTTCTCCTCTTTCTCACTCTTGTCGCTCTTATCCGTTTCACTTTTATCTGAATCTTTGTCTTTGCCTCGCTATAGGAAAAAAAAAACAGTTAAGATATTTACGAAAATGAAATAATAATATAAAAAAACCAGAAGGAAATCAATGAAAATTAACAGAAAAAGTAATTCGGAATTGAGTATTAAACATCTTCTTTAGCCTGCTATTCTCTCTATTGTTACCTACATTCGTTGTGGCATTTTAAATAAAACCCTTTGGTGAAAAGGAAATTGAATCTAAAGTCTAGTTGTAATTTTGAGTTGAATTTACATGACAATAACATCACAAACCACTTTATTTGAAGACAATACCTTGTTGTCTTATTACCTGAGTGGCCGCGGAAGTAGAAGGACCCTGCGCGGGCGGTGTCGGAGTAGAACAGTTAGAGGAGGAGGCGGGCGGCTGGCGGTCCCTGTCCCGTATGAGCGAGCGGCCGGCCGGCGGCGTGCGCGCGCCGCGGGGGTGCGCCACCAGCGTCACGCCCAACTTGCGGTAGAAGTCCTCGTAGCTGTGCAGGAACCTACCACCAAACGAACACGTCTTATTTATCTACTCCACTGAATGTATAGTATGAAGGTATAGAAATGATGCATATAGTATTTTTTTTTTAAGGGGCGAAAATCATCGAATGACTGCTCCCGCCTGGGTGAGGCGGGAGGGAGTGTCAGACTCTTACTGACTAAAAACCACCCCGTTCCTTCTCCTGTACGTCGAGCCGGAGCCCCGGTTACCCGTTAGGTTCTCAGTGAGTAAAGAACGACAAATATCTTTTTTTACAGATATAGAACTAGTTATGTATAAAATAATGTGTTCGTGACGTTCGTTGAGTAAAGTTTGTAGACGTAACTAATGATTAACGGCTCCAAGAGAACTCGAAATTACTCAGGAATTCAACGAAAACCGCAATATTTAATTCGTTTTTTTATGATTTCATATCTTAACAGGTTAAATTAATCGGAATGCATAGTTTTACTAAAAATTTAAAGACAATTTGACGCTAAAAAGAAGGGTGGTGGAGGTGGTGGTAAGGCAAGGCAATTGAATTTTAAATTGCCGTCAATACACGATACACACAAACAAGACACAGAACGGCACTTACTTCTTATAAGCTTGTTTGCATAGGTTCGTGATGCTGGTGGTGACCGGGTGGAAGCCCATCTTATCCGCGATTGTTTTCCATTGGTTTTGATTTGTCACTCTGTTGTAACCACCTAACTTTTCTACTACCTGCGAAATCACAAATAACTGTGTTATTAACAACAATATAATTTAAGCTCTTTGAGTGATTCTTTGGTAGAAACTCCTTGCTGGACAGTCGACAGGGTCTTGGGTTCCGTTGTAGAGAAACATATATAAGGTTTTCAGTTATCAAGATCTCAGTAACAATACAATTCCTGTACACAGCTGTGCCAATGCCTAATTTTAAGCTCCAAAGACGTAGACAGAAGTGCACATATATTATTACCAGCTATGTATTCAATTAAGTAATTATAAACTTACCTTGAACAGTCTGTACAGGTCAATATCCTTGTTGGCGATGGTGGGGTTCCTGTTGAGGGGTGTGCCTCGCTCGTCCATGAACTTGTACAGCTGTGCCACAAAGTGATCCTTCTCTTCCCGCGGCTCATCGTCTGAACTCTGTGTGTGATATACACGTGTTATGTCACTATGTGCAACTCAAAATAAATATCATGTGTTTTATTGAATGACAATTCATCTGTTACAATAAATAGATAGAGAAATAAAAACTAAATAAATAAAGATTGGAATTGTAGTACACATGTGCCAATGTATGTAATATGTACAATTATACATATATAACTATCGAATGACTGTACTAAATTAGATAAATTCTTTTTTGTATTCATTATAACATTGTTTTGGAAAAGTATGTGTAAAAAATAGTTAAAAAAAATGGCACCTGAATAAAACTAGAACGTGTCGCTAATTTAGTAATTTTTAAAGACTTACGTCATCAGAAGTATTTCTCGGTTCATTGAAGAGTGCATCTCTGTCCCAGTGCGGGGGCAGCACTGCGTTGTTCAGGTACTGTAAGGCTGCGTCCACACCGGCCCACTCCAGTGGAGCGCTGCCCTTGCGGAACTCGCGCGCTTCCTTCTTAGGCACTGTGTAACTGTGAGACAAAGTTAATTGTGTTACTTAATAAACTTAATAAAAAAAGCCTTGTAAAACACTTCAGCAAAGGAGTGAGTCAATAAAAGTTTTTAAAAGTTAGAGTTTATATTTGGTGAATGTTAGTTGATTAAGAATTATTAGCTTTTCTTGCCTCATTAATGTAGTTATAACAGCTATAAGACTTGTTGATTCTTCTTATACCCCACTTATACTATAGTACCATACTTTTTTGGTAGACCGTAAGTATTTGGCTTTTATTGTTTCATGTTTCATATGACTATGAATACTAAAGTTAACATTGAATGTTATTGAGAACTCACTATCTGCCATCTTTGAAGGAGCGTACGAGATAGTCCTCTTTGACTTTGATCTGTGCCGTGGGTGCGACGACGAGGGCGGGGAAGGCAGGCTGGTGGGGACGGCGGCGCTCCGCCCCGCCCCCCGCCTCCACCAGCACCACGCGACCCACGTGCGGCTCTACGTCTGCTTTCACGCGACGACCAGAACCAGATCCTTCACTCTCCTCAGACCTAAACCATAGCAAAAACTTTTAAAAATCTATGTTCTGATGGCAATAGAAGTAAGTTTTCTGATTGATGGATGTATGGATGGATGAATGTATGGAATGGATGGAATGAGACAATTTCAATGCAGAAAAATAATGTAGAGGCAATAATAAACGTGATTTGTGGTGTGCACTATTTATAACCAAACTTTATTATTTGCCTGGAACTGGATTTAATTAAGTCCTTTAATGTCTAAGGTCTAAGCATGACTGATGAGATGAATTTAACTAGTGAAAAATGGATGAATTAGTTTAAACCCTACAACCCCATGCATATTGTTATGTGTGTGTTTGTTATAACCACTCTGACGTCCGTGGATAGTACAGTATCCAAGAAAAAAGGAGCGTCATACGCCCATGGATACTATAGTATCCAAAGCGACGAGTTGTGTTTAATGCCCTCTAGTTTAAAATACGGTCTCGATTGGTGAGTTTTGACAGATTATCTATACAGTTGAATAAATAGTTCGACGAAAAAAATAGAGATGGCAGTGTAATAAGCTTTGACAAACAAAATATAATTTTTTAAATTCAGTTGACTCGTTTGACGCGCGTGTTGTGAAGTGTTTTTGTGAGTGCCAACAATTATGTCGTAAGTACTACAGTTTTGTTTTATTTATCTTGCAAGTGTTATACATCAAAATAAACTAGAAGATTTGTGCTTTACGATGATGTATAAATATCACAGTTTTAGCTGATAAATCTAGTCTACTTTTAACTTCAAACGATTATTGTTTCGAAAAAAATGGCCGGTCGTATGGTGTCGGCCACTTTTAGTTTTGTTTATACATATTTTACATACTTTGCATTACAATAGTATATAAAATATCGAAATACATTTCGTAATAAGCAAAATAATACATTTTTCAAAGAGAAATATACTAAATTCACTGAAGATTCCATAATAATGTCAATGTGTTCCTCAGGTTTTTTGATGTGGACTGTTTGGTATCCACGGACGTTACATGAAACGTGATAAATAAGGTTCGCTATACACGGCAAAATATGTTTGCATTATTTTTGTTTTGCTAGTGGTGGTATAATATTTTGCTTGAGATGATACTAATATTTAATATAAAATGCACTTTTGGGTTTTGTACTAATATTCATCATTTATTTTTCGCTTGGTTTCCGTTGGATATGTATAATGTTCTAATGGTTTTTTTTTGTTTTGAAACATTAATTACATGTTTGTTCGTGTTGATTAATTTCCGCTAAATGTAAAAAAATGCACTTGTGGATTTGACTACCTTTCTTTTTTACTGTTGCCCTTGCACGTGTTGCATGGTCGCATATATTTTAATGCTTCGCCAAATTTTATTTTATTCTTTTAACAATACTAATGTTTTAAATTATTCATGCAGATCACCAAATGAAAGCTTTTATGTTGAGGGAAATGGGGGAACTAGGGGACGTGGGGGAAACAGGGGACGTGGGGGAAACAGGGGACGTGGGGGTCGCGGTGACCATATGGAAGTGTCTACAATGCGACGTCAATCTCTGCATTGAAAATTGTTTTAT